CCCCAAAACCCCAAAACCCCTAAGATTGAGTTTGATTTTTTATAGCATAAATTGAAAATTGAGGTCAAAGATAAACTTTAAATTGTCATCAAATCTAAATATTATAAATAATTATCTAGTTTTTTGTATTTTCTTCCTTATGAAATCCAATTACATTCAGCATGCAGATTTACTTTCTTTTTAAAGCAAAATGATTCTTTAAATTGATAAAACAAATTCAAACATCGATAAAATCTAGTCAAAGTGCAAAAATAAGTAACAAATTAACTAAGAAATAATTTGCTTCGTCCAGCTATTAGTTCATAATTTAAAGCAAATGATAGGTGGGTGGAAACAATTTGCAAACATTGTTATAAAATAAATGTAGTTATCTGGATACTAAGATTAAGAGATTCTTGATTTGTTGGGTAATCATCAAGATTTAGTGAATGAATGTTCTAGTACATTAAAGCACTTGAGATAAAATATTTTAACTTAATCTCAAGTTTTCACTCTCTCACTAATCTATCAAATGCATAATTAAGTCAATGAATTAAACTTGAAAGAAGGATAAAATGATTAATCAATTAATATGAGTTAAGATCTGGATTAGAATCAACTAACTTGTCTTAAAGGGATGAAAATTGCAAAAAATTCTTCCTAACAATCTCAAATTCCTTAAGACTAATGGTTTCAATAAAATGAATAATAAACCTCTCATAAAATAGTTCCTGATATTTAATGATACAAATTTTCTTCAAGGAAAGCAAAGTCGAATTCAAGAAATGAGATGGAGCAAACTAGAGACATAGGCAGTGACAAAATTATTGGTCAAAATAATGAAGTTTAAGTAATTTAATGGTAAAAAAATGATTAAAAAACTCTATAATAAAACAAGATCCCTCTTCCAACGATTGCTAATGATTTGAATGTTCAAATACTATCATCAAAAATTAGTATTCAAGAGTTACCCAATTCAGTTTAATTTTCTATTGATAAATCATAAAACTCAGTAAATAAAGTTGGCTTATAAAACGATTCTGATGGTAAGATCGCTGAGTAATCATTCAACAATATTTCAATAAAGTAAGAAGCATTATTAGTCCATGAAAGTGATATATAAGAAGAAGTAAAACTAAACATTGATTCAAGCTAAGAAATATATAATTCTTAAGTTATCAATGCAAATTAAAATTTGAATAAAAACTTTGGTGATCTTTCCGAATAAAATCCTTAAGTTAATCAAATTTAAGCATTAGCCAATACTATGGATAATAAGGATTAGCTTATTTTAAAGAAGGATCCTGCTTTTAAAATTTTAAGACCTAAAAAAAGAAGATAGAATGACAAACAAGTCATTATTCAAAGTTTCTAAGAAATAAAAGAAATAAATCTAAATCCTCAAAAGAAAACTACTCTACTCTATTACAACATGCTAGATGAAAAGTTACTTCTAGGATTGAGTGATGCTTATACATAGGTATATTCTATTAAAAATGATGAGGAATGGGAGTTAACATCTATAATTACTCCTATATCAGTTTTCAATTATCAGGAATCAATCTATTTCGGGTTGAATTCTAAATAAGTTGTTATCTTAGATCGATTGGAATATGAGTAGAAAAAGCTTATTGACACTACTGAAATAGTCATAAAAATAATACTCTATACTCACTATGATTATTAGAATAATACTAGCAAAGAATATTTAGTATTCCTTGAAGAAAAAGGGTACATAGAATTTTATTCTCTTTAAAATTATTCCGTAATTTTCACTTATTAGCACAATTGCAAAATGGATATTAAAGACGGTTTTCAAGTTCATAATTCAAATCAGCTTTGTCTTGGATTCTCTGAACTTGTGTAGAATGAATATAAAAACGGTCAGCTCTCTTTCATCTAAATAATTAGACCACAAAATAATAATCAATAATCAAACAAGCTTGAAATACTACCCAAAAAAATAGAATAAGAGATATAGATTAAAGAATTAGAAAATATCAAGTATTTCAATAAAAAGGTAGTATTTTGTGTCTAGCAAATTTCAACTAACTGCTTTATTGCTTTAAGCATTCATAAGAATATTTTTTTCTTTAACAGAAAATACCCTAAGAAAGTCTAACAAATACATAATCCATCAGGTAGCATCAATTACAACTCATTAGTAAAGATTGATGGGTTTAGAGAAAGCCGTCCTTATTTGATTTTCAGAGATTCAAAATCTCTCGGACTGATAAATTGCAAATCACTTGAAGTATTTACTCTGGCTTAAGGAATAGATTATGCAAGATGCGGAAACTTATTTTGCCTTGAGTAATCCAGTAATGACAAAGAAGGGAAACTTTACTTGTATACGATGATATTTGAAAGAATCTCAGGAAAGAGATCCCTTAGAGTTTATTCACTCAATATTGAGAACAATATGTGATGAAATGATATCTGAAGAAGGTAGTCACTGATTAATTATAATCATTTTTATTAAAAATATTTAGTATAAACTTGTTTTCTTTAATTTAATAAATATTTGAAATGCGGGGTTTTGGGGTTTTGGGGTTTTGGGG